CCCCAAAACCCCAAAACCCCAAAACCCCTAGGATATAAAATAATAGTATTGCTAGTATTACTCAGTTAAAATAAAAAAATTTTAACTTTGATTTATAATTAAATTTATTCTTATAGTTACTAATTATTGCAAATGAAAAAAGTAGAAGAATAGTAGAAGCTAATGGGCCCCTAGTTTGAATCCAAAGATATGAACACCTCATTCAATAGTCCATCAAATGAGTTGCAAGAAGATACCACTGTCGTTACTCGATAACGGCCAAAAATGGTACAATATGAGTTTGAAGTCAATAAAGAACTCGATAAGAAGGATAAGCGGTTTAAAAGTAACATGATCTCCACCTGCAAATACACCTGGTGGAACTTTGTCCCCAAAAACCTTTTTATCTAGTTTACCAAGCTAGCGAACGCTTACTTTCTCTTGATTCTAATTTTGCAAGTTATAAAACCGGTTAGTATCACTAATGGAACTCCTGCAATTTTGCTGCCGTTATCAATTGTCGTTGCAATGAGTGCAATAAAAGACATCATTGAGGATTTGAAAAGATATAGGTCGGATTAAGCTGAGAACAAAAAGAAGTGTTTGGGTAGAGACTGGTAAACAGGAAAATTTGTATAAGTAGAGTGGGAGTAATTAAAGGTTGGATAAATAGTCAAAGTACTCATCGATGAATCATTCCCTGCAGATATATTACTTCTAAATTCCTCACTTAATGGAGGAATAGCATATGTAGAGACAAAGAACTTAGATGGCGAAACTAATCTTAAACATAAGACATCAGTGAAGGAAATAGTAGCTGTGGTTAAGGATGAGGCTGAGGCACTAGCAATGGACGGGGAAGTTTAGTGTGAGACTCCCAATGACAAGATTTATAAGTTTGATGGAGTTTATAGAAGTAAGAAACTCAGATAGGAAGTATCTCTTTCTTCAGATAATTTACTACTCAGAGGATCGAATCTTAAGAATACTGAATTCATCTATGGAATCGTTATATTTACTGGTCATGATACTAAAATTATGTTGAATTCTACCTCTGCAAGGAACAAGTTTTCGAGAAACGAGCAAACTACGAACATCTAAATCCTATTGGTATTCTGCTTACAGCTACTTGTGTGTTTCATAGGATCAATTATAGGGACAATGTGGGAAAAGAATAATCGCTTAAAAACATATCAATACTTAAACATTAATCTTATATATCAGGACAGAGAGGGATAAAGTTGGGCTGAGTAGTTCTTTACTAGATTTGGTACTTGGATCCTATTGTTTACAAATTTCATTCCAATTTCTCTCACAGTCACTATTGAAGTTGTTAGAATGGCATAAGGATTTTTTATGTCATGGGACACTGAGATTTATGATCTTGAAAAGGACATGGCAACTAAAGTCCAGTCGAGTAACTTAAATGAGGAACTCGGTCAAGTTCATTACATCTTCTCCGATAAAACTGGTACTCTCACTTGCAATATTATGGAGTTCAAGAAATTTTCAGTGGGAGAAGTCTCTTATGGTATTGATGGGCATAATTTGAAAGATCACATGGCTAAAAGATATCCTAAATTTGTAGAAGACAATATAACCAATGTGAATTTCGAAGATCCTATGTTTTTCGAACATTTAACGAATAGAAGTCACCCAAACAACAGAAATATTATGAACTATTTAGATTGTTTAGCCCTTTGCCATACAGTAATTATTGAAAAGAAAGAAGGCAAAGTTTTCTATAATGCTTCATCTCCAGATGAGTTGGCCTTGGTCAACGCAGCTAAGTTCTTCGGAGTATCATTTGCAGGTCGTGATGACGATAACAATATGATTGTTAAGAGAAAAGATGGAACAGAAGAAACTTTTGAACTTCTAAATGTTCTAGAATTCAACTCAACAAGAAAGAGAATGAGTGTAATAGTTAAAGAATCGAATGGATAAATTAAACTTATTTGCAAGGGTGCGGATTCAATAATAGAGTAAAGACTGGAGAAATCCGAGGCAAACAGCTAGATGTTTCAAAAGACCGATGTTCATTTGTAGCAATACGCTAAAAATGGGCTTAGAACTTTGCTCATTGCAGAAAGAAAACTTGATCCTACTACTTATTAAAACTGGGCTAAAGAGTACTATGATGCCTCGGTATCTCTTAAGAACAGAGATGAAAAGATAGATGCTTGTGCCGAGAAGATTGAAGTAAATTTGCAAATCGTTGGTTCAACAGCTATCGAGGATTTACTCTAGGACAGAGTAGGTGACACCATTTTCGCACTTAAATAGGCTGGCATCAAACTGTGGGTATTGACTGGTGATAAAATTGAAACTGCCATTAATATTGGATATAGTTGCATGCTATTAAACAATGATATGCTCTAGCTAGTCATAGATGCTGGAGATAAGAAGGAAAGTGATTAAGTGCTAGATAAAGCCAAATAAGATCTATAAGATAATGCTAAAAGATAAAATGTAGCTATTATAGTTAGTGGTGGTGCTTTGATTGAGATTGCTGGAGTTGATTCACTAAGAGAGAAATTCATCGATATTTGCAGTTAAGCACAAGTAGTTCTTGCTTGCAGAGTGTCGCCTAAGCAAAAAGCTGATATTGTGAACATGATTAAGGGTAGATATCCCAAACTGACAACCTTAGCTATCGGAGATGGTGCTAATGACGTTAACATGATCACTGCTGCTCATATTGGAGTCGGAATAAGTGGTAAAGAGGGTCAACAAGCTTCAAGAGCTGCTGATTATGCCATAGGTCAGTTCAAATTTTTAAGAAACTTACTTTTTGTCCATGGCAGAGAATCATACAGAAGAAACTCTTATCTTATCTGTTATATGTTCTACAAGAATGCCTTATATGTTATGCCTTAATTCTGGTATGGAATTGTCAACACTTTTTCTGGATAAACCCTTTATGAATCTTGGGTATATCAGCTATATAACATTGTGTTCACAGCTCTACCTATTATGTGGTATGCTCTCTTTGACAGCGAATTTGACCGTAAAGTAATGCATGATGATCCATCCAAATATGTTGCTGGCCCTGATTAGAGACTATTTAACAAGAAAATATTCTGGAAATGGATGTTCTATGCTTGCTGTAAAGCCTGCTTACTTATGTTCCTTGTTGCATGGACTTTTGAGAATTCAATGAATTAGAAAGGATAAACTTCTTCATTCTGGGTCTTCGGTATGATCATATACTCTCTGGTAGTCATTTTAGTAAATGTCGAAATCCTATTCTAAACAAACAATCACAACTACATTAGCATCGTTATATTCATCCTGTCAATTGGGTCGTTTTACGCTGTGTATGCTGTTGAAAACTCTCTTGATATGATCCCAGTACTAAGAGGTACTTTCTTTTTCATTTGGATTTCACCGTAGTACTATCTGGTTATCATATTCTATGTAATGTTCCAACTTTTAATACAGATGACAATGAGAGATCTTTAGCAAATCTACTACGACTATAAAGACAGATTGGCAATGAAAGCTCCAGTCGAGCACTACAATTCTTAAAATGTAACTTAAGTACACAAAGATGAGCCGCAAGTTATACATAGATCCTCTACTCATAAAGGCTATGCGTTCAGTTAGGAGAGAGGTAATGATCCACTTGTTGTTGATAAACTCATCAACCGCTAAATAAGTAGAATGAATTCAGAAGGCTTCGAGAAAAAGAACTCTATTTCAAGTAATCAGAAAGTTAATAAAATCCAACCTAGTAATAGTATTATCTAATCTGTAAGAAATAACTCGATTCATTAACATGAATAGAGCGAGCTGGATAACTGAATAAATTCTTATGATATAGATTCGATAAAGGATTTTTCTACACTGAGAGAGAGAAAAACCAATGGAAGGCAATTACCAGATTTTAAGGTCCAATAAAGTCCATTCGAGGCCGATATTATCGAGGAGGGAGATCAATATTGAAATCATTTACTCGTTTATTTTATTTTATTACAGACAGCATTTATATATTTAAATTATATTATCTGCCAAATATACAATCTTACCTTGAGGGGTTTTGGGGTTTTGGGG